AGATTCATAGAATTTACCAGATATTCCAAGTTTCTGGAGTTTTACCACAGGCAGTTTCTATTCATATTATCGAATGCTTTCATGGCATCTATGTGACACACATGTTGATTGTCAAGATAGTTTCCGGTTATAAATCGCTGAACACTGAGTGAATAAATGTTCTTGAGTACTTCTTTTCCTACGTAAGCCATTTCGTCCATAGGCATTTCGCTCTTCAAGCCTATTGGTAAGAAGGTTGTTAATAATGTCTGAGTATGATTTACATACAGCTGTAGTACGGCTAACAAAGTAACACGGTAGCTTCAGAGATCCCATGTGTCACTATCAGCTTTGACTATAGTGTCAATAATTCCATGTTTCCGCCAATCCGGACAGCATTTATTCTCGAAACTATAAGTGAACAACTTAAGTAATATATCCACACAACCAAGTGCTTCAGGTGATATCGAGTCTGGCCCTACAGCCTTACCCCGTTTTGCACGAAAGGGCGGGTATTTGAGGGATCTGTATGATGCCAGCCAGGTTTTTGTATGGGGACAAAAATGGCATTATGCCACGAAGGAGGAAAATTCCCTGACGTCCATATTTGGTGAAAAGTATCTTAACATGTCTCTTCCTGTCTCTGAACCTCATAATTTGATGGAGAAGAATCCTCAGTAAGAGTTTCACCAAGGTGATTCGCAATGTCAGATTTATCAGTTATTAATTTGTCACCGCCTTTAAGATGGAGTACAAACGATTTGGAACCTTTACCCGTTATTTTTTTTAACCATGTTCTACACCTTGGACATGGGTGTGCATTAATTAATTTTGGAGACATGTTTGTAAGCATGTCGTGCTTTGGCGCTGACAATGAATGATCTGGTTTATTGTGTTTGTCACCATACGCCGACAGCGTGCTCATGCTGTCAACCTCTGGCTTACCTATCAAGGAGTAGACTAAGAGTATTTACGAGGTGTCGTATTGACTAACCCGCACCAAGTCCGCTTATTGTTGAGTAGTAACTAGTTGTCATGTCAGAATCCTGTACAAACTCGTTACTGACGAAGAGTTCATGCCACGCCGATCCCAGTCCTAGTTTTAGAGTGCTTCGCTCATGGCACCCAACCTGGGGTTACCAGGGTCAGAGTGACCGCGTGCATATGCCACAACTATGCCCGAAACTCATCAGTACACATGTTGGTTCTCGCAGATGGCACCCAAGTGTAATGTGAAAGTTACTGTGCGGTGTGACTTCAATTGTTGCCACTGCCGTTGATAACAAGGACTGTTATTTTGACGGTTACTGATGCTGAGTTAGATGCTTCTACTCTCAAGCAGTTATTGAATGCAAAATATATACCACCGATCACAAGCATAGTCATGTTGGTTGGTTGGTTGGTTTGTTGTGTAACGCCGCACTCAGCAATATTCCAGCTATATGACGGCGGTCTGTAAATAATCGATTCTTAACCAGACAATCCAGTGATTGACGTCATGAGCATCGATCCACTATAAACTATGTAAACTAACAAGGACGTGTATCACAAGTCCACCTATTGCTGACAAAGGGGCAACGGGACGTTACCACGGTTGTAATATATCAAACCAGTTACCTTTTCACATCGTTTTATGTGAACTGGTTTCAAGGACAATACTAATCTCGCCTCGACCCAATAATCTGTGTTATCTTGGTTAGAGCTACCGTTGTTATTTACTCCCAAATATTTCCGCTTTGAGGCTTGTGACTCAGCAGTACTTGATTTCGCTGTCGCAACACGCTCTATGTGTGTGACATCATCACCCTGCAATATCCCGTGATAAGACCATGGTCAAAGATATATAAAATGCTGATGAAATCTTTAATTGCAGTCGACATACAGAGTCGCATGTATTTTCCGCTTCAAGCAAATAATTATTTTGATGGTAGGATGATTTCGAATTACAGTGGAACGCGTCATTTCTAAGTGACCCGTGAAGATTCCGGGGTAGAATAGGTCTTCAGCAACCCATGCTTGCCATAAAAGGTGACTATGCTTGTCGTAAAAGGCGACTAACGGGATCGGGTGGTCAGGCTCGCTGACTTGGTTGATGCATGTCATCAATTCCAATTGCGTGGATCGATGCTCATGATATCAATCACTGGATTGTCTGGTCCAGACTCTATTATTTACAGACCGCCGTCATATAGCTGGAATATTGCTGAGTGGGGCGTTAAACAACATCCAACCAGTCATTTCTAAGTTATCAGTAGTCAGAAACAAGCAGTGTGCCGTCAGTAGCCTATTCAGCCAATATGTGTACCGGGATCCTTACAAGACATCGTCTTAATCAGTACTTCGAGTTAAGGGATTTCAAGTTAACGAGGTTTCATTTGTTTTTGCAGAGTAATTGCGTTGATACTTATTTTTATAGCCACATTCACATGCACTTTTACCCATTCGAAATTTACACACGAATAAATTTACTAAGAGGTCATGTAAAGTATATTTGATCATAAGATAATTACTTGTTTTGCAAATAATGCAGTATGAACAGGATGAATGTTTGCGTATGTGGCAGATGCCTTCATATCCACAAATATCACATCATTGCATCATCTCTATAGATATCCACACATCGCGTGACAGCAACGTGGGGCGAGGTTCTTTACATAGAAGCTTGAAACTTAACTTTCGTCATGTCAAAGTTTTGATCTTTAACAAAAGATTCCTGACCACATGATTCCACCAATCACGGGATCTATTCTCATCCACATTCCATTTTCAAGAGAACTACTCAAGTCTCAAAACAAGCAATTACATTTAGGTACTTTTAACTGCTTTCTCTCAATACATTCAGATAGGGGTTCGATCCCCGGCCGCGTCATACCAAAAGACGTTGAAAGATGGTACTTGTTGTTACCCTGTCTGGCGCTCGGCATTAAAGGGCTAAAAGAAGGACTGGTCGGTTCGGAGTCAGTATACTGTGTCTGAGTGAGGTACTCATGTTAAACTGCGGCATGGTATCTCAGTGTGCGAGCACTATAAATCGGCATCAGTCCGGACAAGTACTAGCAGCCACACACACACACGTGCATACACGTCGCTATATAAGTGCAATAAACCCAATTTCACCTCACTTCATAGGGTAAGATCAATTTACACGCACCATTGTGACTGGACTGAGAAAAGTTATGTTGTTTACCGCCGCCATATTATATCCGCTGTATCACGGCCTGCAGCAGATGAACCAGTGACTGAAAACTATTCGCGCCATCGGGGCATGGCATCTCGCCAATTGGTTCTCATAAGTCTGATCCTTACACAACATATTTTTAATGTTAATTTAGTTTTATGTTCATATTTCTTCCGGCTGCTTTTCAGAAGGGGCGGCAGGCCCGTGAAACGAACTAAAAACTGGTATTTATAAATTCCGTGTCTACATCACCATCAATGATTCAATAAGCCATCTGCAAATAAAACGGAAAAGGATTAAATTGTGAAGATTGCATTGTCGCAATAAAATTGATGTTGATTTTGAACTCTTGTCTGTGCAGGATTGGGTGCCTCTAACCCTCCCGATACTCTTATTTTATATAAAATAGAATTATTATTTTTTATAAAAAAATCACAGAAAAATAATGTTCTGAGAAGAAATTTTTTTTTGAAATGATTTATGTTAAGACTGAATTCTTTCTTTAGCATACTGAGCAAACACTTTGTTACAAATCTTATTTTTGAGATTTACATCCAACGCCCTGCACGTGGAGCCGGTCTGCCATTGGGTTGGACGGTGGGATAGCCTAGTGGTTAAAGCGTTTGCTCGTCTCGCCAAAGACTCCATGGGTACATTTCTGGGATCTCTCCCCGTGATATAAATGGAATATTCCCAAAAGAGGCGAAATCCATACTCATTCACTAAGTCACTCACTCACTCACTCACTCACTCACTCACTCACTCACTCACTGCCTTTGGGCACCACACTGAAAAACCCACATCTGTGTATTAAATGTACACACTACAAGGTTATCTGTCACTCATACTGTATCAGGCTGCGTTTCCAACCTGAAACAATATCAGATTTTTCACAACAGTGTAAGGTCTTTCAATGATAGCTTACCCAGGCCATAACTACTAAGCGTTGTAAAGGAATGTGCCCAAAGTATTGGATTGTGTCACTCTCTTTGTGTAAACTAACTGATAAGACTTCTCTTTTTTCGGTTGTACAATGCCCTTGTCCGTTTATTTCTGGAGATTAGTTTTTTGATGGATTACGTGTAATTACGGAGTCTGCACGACTTAGAGAAGTGACAATGTGTTTGCGGGCATCAAAGTTGATCAGTTGTTTGTTAGTAAAGTTTAAAGTAAAACCACACAAATCTTCTGTGAACACAGTACATATTATAGTATATAACAATATACATATAGTATTTAAATTGTGTGTGTGTGTGTGTGTGTGTGTGTGTGTGTGTGTGTGTGTGTGTGTGTGTGTGTGTGTGTGTGTGTGTTTGGCTGGCTGCTTGTACTAGTCCGGACTGATGCCGATTTATAGTGCTAGCTCACTGAGATACCATGCCGCAGTTAAACATGAATACCCAACTCAGACACAGTATACTGACTCCGAGCCGACCAGTCCTTGTTTTAGCCCCTTAATGCCGTGCGCCAGACAGGGTAACAACAAGTACCACCTTTTATCGTTTTTGGCATGACGTGGCCGGGGATCAAACCCCGGACCTTCCGCTCTCAGGGCGGACGCTCTACCACAAGACCACGGAGGCGGTCTCATTTCTCAGCGAGTTGTCAGGCCGTAATATAAAGGAAGTAATGTTGAAACTGGACCATGTAACTAATAATAATAATAAACAAACTCGCAAAAAACTCACTGACGAAACTACATATAAGCAATTTATTGCCATATACAGAGTATCCTGCTCACTGGCAGGTGTGGTCTGCATGCACAAAGCAAGACCATATATCACTGAGAATCCCAAAGTCACAGCTGATGCCCCTCTCGTTCGACCTATTTAAACAGCCGATAGCCAGGGGGTTGACACAACGACTGCAGCCTCCCGTCTGCTCAGATAGAAACGGTGTGTTTAGTGTGGCGTCAGCTACCATGGCGAACATCCAGTTATATTATTTTAAGGGAAGCCCACCAAGTCTTGCTGTCCTCATGACAGCCAAGGCCCTTGGTGTACCACTCGAGATGAAGGAACTCCAGTACTGGAACAAAGACCATCTAGCCCCGGAGTTTACAGAGGTGAGTACACCACGGCGCGAGGGTTGGAATAGGTCCCCCGCTGCCCATTACTGGTCGTAAGATGAAACTAAACCGGATGGGGCCGTCATTCTCTCAAATTATCAATCCCAATTCGTAACAGTTTTGGGAATCATTCATGTCATACGGTTCCTGAAGACATGACCCTTTCCTTGCAGTGTCACCCCGCGCGGAGTCTGGGAAGAATGATGCCCCTAGTATCCCATGTTATCACCTCGTAAGCTTGTTTGTTTGTTGTTTAACGCCGCACTCAGCAATGTTCCAGCTATATGACGACGGTCTGTAAGTAATCGAGTCTGCACCAGACAATCCAGTGATTGACATCATGAGCATCGATCTACGCAATTGGGATACGATGACATGCATCAACCAAGTCAGCGAGCCTGACCACCCGATCCCGTTAGTCGCCTCTTACGACAAGCATAGTCGCTTTTTACCACAAGTATGGGTTGCTGAAGACCTATTCTACCCCGGATCTTCACGGGTCTCGTAAGCCTGAGATCCCTTAACTCGAAGTACTGATTAAGACGATGTCTTGCAATGATCCCGGTACACATATTGGCTGTATAGGCTACTGACGGCACACTGCTTGTTTCTGACTACTGATAACTTCGAATTGACGACACTGTAATTCGAAATAATCCTTCCATCAAAATACAATACATGCGACTCTGTATGTCAACTGCAATCAAAGATTTGATCGGCATTTTATATATTTTTGTTCATGGTCTTATGTCACAGGATATTTCAGGGGTAATGATGTCACACACATAGAGCGTGTTGCGACAACGAGATCCAGTACTGTCAGAGACCATGAAATCTATGTTATGGTCTCTGGTACTGCCGGCTCACAAGCCTCAAAGCTGACCTATATTTGAGTCAAATAACAACAGTAGCTCCGACCACGATAACCTAGATGATTGGGCCAGGGTGAGATTAGTGTTGTCTTTGAAACCAGTTCACATAAAACGATGTGAAAATAACGGGTTTAATATATTACAACCGTGGTAACCACCCGTTGCCCCTTTGTCAGCAATAGGTGGACTTGTGATACACGTCCTTGTTAGTTTACATAGTCTATGACCATCCTTGCAATCTATGACATATATTTTGCATTCAATAAATCTCGGGCCTATTTGTGGCACACACTCACTGACGCGCTGACCCAGTTAACTCCAGGGTTTGAGAGAAGCGCTATAAAACTGGGACAAAGATCGGCTGCCCGAGAACCACGATGGGGTCCTACAGTCAACACCTGACCCTACATCAGGGCCGAGAACACCACCTTATAAATCTTATTCAGACTGTGGTGGACGATTGCCTTCGTAATCTTTTTAGATTTTGTAAACATATTTTCCGTGGGTTTGTGACTGAAAAGTTGATATCGCTGTATTCCCAGTAAATGTCCCGATCTATACACGTACTTGTCATAATCTTATTACAGTAAACTACGGTTATAACGAACTCAAAGGGACCACTAATTTTAGTTCGTAATAACCGTAGTTCGTTATAAGCGTACATACAAGAAATGGCCGGAACTAAAAAATAAGTTCGTTATATCCGTCAGTTCGTTATAAGCGTGTTCGTTATAAACGTAGTTTACTGTACTTCAATTTGAGGTAATAACAGACCGGTAACCCGTTCACATCGTGTTTTCCCTAAACTGTATGTAGTACTCTCTGCAGGTGGAAAACACATTGTTTCTCGCATTTGGATTCATTTGAACTTTATTTATATATTTATATATATTTATAACTTTATTTATATATATACTTGTGTAAGTCTAACAGCTGGTTTACACACACAGTTGTAAGGAATGCTGGAACTGTCAACCACTGAGACAATTGACAACATAATTTTCTATATTTTCATGACATTTTATTGCAGTATACTAATGAAGGAAAAGTGTAAAAAAAATGGTAAAAAGTCATTTTTAGAACATTTTTTGTTAATTATAAAAACAAAGAATATTTCAGACACTACAAATCATAATGTTTTTAAGTAATCAGTTAACATGGTTACCAATATATACTCACTTCCAAAATACACGCAGACCCTAAAGTATAAAATGTCCGAAAACGGAAAGGTAATATTATCCCTATTCGTTTTCGGACATTTCATATGGTAATATAGGAGTTATACATATAATTATAGTAATACAAGAGGGATGGGCAGTCAACTGGCTCCCTGGCTCCTTCCACTGCTGCCTTAACTGGATCTGGTTATCTCACACACAGCCTCCCTGTCACACGGACTCAATACAGTTTATATCAGCAGTGACATGACTTCTTAAGTTTCCAGGATGATGGGTCGGTATCCTTCAACTCTCCGTACCATGTGTCTAGTAGTTCATTTGCAAATTACGTTACATTGTTAATGGTATACTATGAGTGAGTGATACGCAGCTTTGACATCGCCTCAGTTAAATCACAGACTTTTGAAGGTTGAAGCAAACGTATTAACTGTCAAACTAGTACATTACATCAACATGGTGACAGTTCAGTAGTAAGGCGTTTGGTCTAAGGCTTTGGTCTTAGGGCCATTGGGGGTCCAGCAACCTATGCAGGACCAAATTGATCGGTGGTCAGGCTCGATGACTTGTTTAATCACGAGTTGATTCTACTTTAACCTTGTTATGGTTAACGTATATGTTATTTATAATTTTGCATAATGACCTGTAGTTTCGCTTGTTTGAAATGCAAGTTCAGAATGGCCGTGAATTTCTGGCTCAGAATTGGTTGTTGGTTGGTTGGTTGGTTTGTTGTTTAACGCCGCACTCAGCAATATTCCAGCTATATGATGGCGGTCTGTAAATAATCGAGTCTGGACCAGACAATCCAGTGATTAATATCATGAGCATCGATCCACCCAATTGGGATCGATGACATGCATCAACCAAGTCAGCGACCCTGAACACCCGATCCCGTTAGAATAGTCGCCTTTTACGGCAAGCATGGGTTGCTGAAGACCAATTCTACCCCGGATCTTCACGGGTCTCTGGCTCAGAAACAACTGCAAGAACAATAGCGTGAACTCACCGAAATGGTTTAATGTTTAGGTTTAAAAAGGCGTTAAGCCCAATTCATTCACTCACTTATTCTAGTCGTTTATGAACTGTTTTGTAACATTTCAGATAAACCCGGATCAAAGCGTCCCAACAATTATAGATGGAGACTTCACATTGTGGGAGAGGTAAGGTCACACAACTAAAGTCAAGGCAACGTAGATTTTCCGTCATTCCATATCCTGTAACAATTATCCGCTATTTGAAATGGAATTTAGGACAACCGTCGATGAATGGAACACTCAAACTGCCTTAATCCTTAAGCAGATTTAACGACGACTGAAACACATATTGACATCCTGCCACTGGAACATATTCTTCAGTTGATCTGTCACAAAGAGATTTAAATCGTTACCATGCAATCCATCATAAAGTCATGGTTTAATATGGACTGCATACTATCTATGTTCATAATGCCGTTATAATCGTGATGTTCTAAAAATATTGTCAATAAATTAAAAATTAACCTGGGTGAAACTCATATGACTGCAACATCATTCATGATCACTTATCTGAATCATTTTAGAAACTACTTATTGTGAGTGAGTGAGTATGGTTTTACGTCACTTTTAGCAATATTCCAGCAATATCACGGCGGGGGACACCAGAAATGGGCTTCATACATTGTACCCATGTCGGGAATCGAACCCGGGTCTTCGGCGTGACGAGCGAACGCTTTAACCACTAGGCTACCCGACCGCCCCAAAAACTATTTATAACATTGTGGATGACATTATGCCGTTTGTTATCCTGACTGTGATCACGATCTAGTGATAACTGTCCTATGTCACTGACTAGCTACTTGGTTGAAGCATGTCCTCGTATCCTAATTGCTAAGATCAATAATCATGACGCCAATCACAGGATAGTCTGGTCCAGACTCGGTTATTTACATTCTGTTGTCATAAAGCTGAAATAGCTGTTTGCGGCGTTATACAAGAATCTAACACTTACTAGCTGTGTTTGGAGAATCGTGGAATGTATATTCAACAGACTGGTACCTGAAAAGCTATAATCTCAGTAGGATACCTATAGTCTTTTGTCCAGCAGGGCACAGTGGAGAGTATCTTTACAGACATGCCAATCATGTGATGTGCCTGTTAACCAGACCTCCGCGGCACCCAGGTCTTTGTACTCTATGTAGTTCCACACATACCTGTTGAACATTCTGCACATAACCCTGCTCCACAATCGGATCTTAATGCTGACTCCTACAGTATCAGGACTCCTACAGTGTATCATAACACTTACTAGCTGTTCTTGTAGCATGTATATGTACAACCTAAGTAGTAACTCGTATCCCCAGTGTCTCTGTATAGATATGCCAGTCATGCATTTGGACTTACACCCCATCATCTTATTGGATATCAAGATCGTATGCTTCATTTCGTCCTTACACATTTATACTAGGAACTCTGTTGAACATTCTATCCCGGGCCTTGGTTTTTAGGGTTATGTTTATTGTAAATAACAGCAACAAAACCCTATCCATGATCATAAGTAATCTCTGCAAAACGCATTGTTCATTGTACGAATTTGACTGTATGCGTTTATGAATCACGATCACAATAGTGATCATACCAAGTTTTTTCGCAAAACGGTGAGCGTTTATTGCCTTTCCGGTTGTACCCGTCACAAACACATGCAAGGACAAGTCAATTGTTCACCTATCAAAAACAAGGAAATATATGGTATGGTCAAAATAAGGAATTCAGTTTTGATTCGTTAAATTTGTAAATGTCCTTAACAGGGTTACCATCAACCCTTTTGGAAGCTTGTATAACGCCTTGATTGTTGTAACCCTGATCTTACAACTTTTGAACAAGACGCTCTTTAAAGTCCTTGTAGAAATTCTCGATTGTACCTCAAATGATGTGAACTGTCGACATCAAAGGCTGGGGGTGCTGGAGTGTCGCTGGACATAATGGGAAAGTTAACTATTGGCAAGCCGAAGTCATCTCTCTTGTCATACAGTCCTCTGGATAGTTTTTGTCACTCTCAATATGTATGCATAGATCTAAATATGATTCATTGGTCTCTCTTATTTCTTATTCATCGTGAATCCGTGGAAAGGCGTTGGCAATTGATTTATATATCGTAAGCTTAGTTAAACTTCTTGGGCAAGTTCCCTTGTTTTGATTTTGCCATTCGAGCAGAAATTCTGATTCATATGTGTGAAGAAGAGGGTCAGAAGAGAGGGTGAGTAGCGATTAATCTCGCTGCCAAGAGGTGCCCACAACTGGTGCCCATGGCGATGACTACTTATTGCTTAAATGCCTATCCCCGAAATGTTAGATAGATGTTATCCAGTATTTCACATAATAAAGATTACTGTTTTCTCAGTAAACGACAGACGGCATTGACTTTAAATGTTAACAAATTGCCCTGAACCTTTGAAGATATATATATCTATTATCACCATGTTTGTTGAGAAATGCCCAAGAATGGGCTGAAATTGAGTTCGCATAGCACATATTGGTTTCATATTCAGCAACGTGTCATAGACTAGTTATGCAAAGCATTCTCAACTGCTCTGTGCAATGACGATTTTACCCTCATGAAACTGCAGATGTGTCTTCTATTGTATCCACAGTCGCGCCATCTTGCGCTACCTGATAGGGAAATATGGGGGTGAGGACAACAGCTTGTACCCCCGGGACCCCCAGAAGAGGGCAGAGGTGGACCGACTACTGGACTATGATCTTGGGGTCTTCTTCAGAGTCATTTTGGAGGATCTGGTAAGTATTAAAGTAATGTAGCATTCTTGGTTTTTTTAATCACCTGTAGTACTTTACTTAACACTGGTCGATCCCGTCAGGATTCTTGATTAGAATAGGTCCTGAGTACCTCATACAGATGATATGATAGTTGAATTCTGTAACTTTAAGTCACATCAGCCAAACATACAAGCAGGCCTCTGTCAAGTGGATTGCAGTAAATTTATCGGGATGAAAGTGTACAGTGCGTAATAAAATTTCGATCTAGCATTGGGCAATAACCCGTGGCTTTGATTAAAAAATGACCGAGTATTTGAGAAGTGGCGACACTTCTATAAACATACACCGAGTACAGAGGTAGAGAAATACTCATTCAACCTTGTAAACACGTCTTGTCATAGGAGTTGTGTTCCTATTTCAGTGGCTGCCATTCAGAGACAAATATGAGATGACAAAAGAACAAGACGAGAAGGTCATGAAGGGTTTCAAGCGGATTGATACACTGGTCAAGGATAAGAAGTTCCTTACCGGAAATAACCCCACCATTGCCGACTTTTCGATAGTAGTTGGGTTTGCAGTGGAAATTGTCTATCCAGGGGATATGTCCAAGTACCCCAATGCCATGGCATGGTACAAGAGAATGCAGGAATTGCCCTACTACAAAGAAGCGAATCAGTCGTTTCCCGGCTGGGTGGAAAGCGTGAAGAATCGACACACTGAAAAGGTGTAAAACATGAAGATGTTCAGATCCATTGAAGTGTACGGATGATGCAAGAGAATGCACAACAAAAAGTCAGTGCAAGAGGTTATTGTTGTGTGAGTTTTAGATCATTCATCTTCATAAACCAAAGATGAACTCTTACTTGTGTAACTGATGTTAGGATCCTTATTGCACTGTTTTCACTGATTAACTTGTCTCCAGTTATATAGTATTACCAATATATATTCAACTACAAAGATTAAAAGCTTTATGGTTATTTTTTTTCTTTGTGGTTTATTTGTAAGGCAATCTGCGCTTGAGTTACATCAGCCCAATGATGTTCAACAGGTGCCCGATGCAGTGTAGGTCTTTGATGGCACTGATTATTTAAAACCAGTCACATTTGACCAGTTAACTTTGTCTGAGGCAAGAGGTAAACACGAGGATATTTAAACAAACCGCCGAGAGCAGTGGGTCGGTGTGGGCTCCTCGCAATAGTCATAGTTATACTTCCAATAAGTATGGGAATGGGGAAAGTAACGTGACCATACCTCCTTCTACATTGGGACAGTCTTTTATTTGTGAAACAGAGTAGCCAATTTTCAGTTAACATTACAAGAAGGAGTTACGTCGGACATGAAAAGTTTTATTAATTAAGAACTGATACAGTTTGTTCAGTTTCGTGTTCTTATCAATCTGGTCAAAACATATCCTTGATTGCTTTATGCCTTTTGATGTTTTGGTTCTTCTATTAGCCATGAAACGTTACACCTATATTAACAGAGTACTGAAATTATCATGCTATACTGCAAAATCATCTGCGCAGGGTTGCCTGAGTACCGTTACCATAATTACCTAAATGAGATGTATAACACTTGACAAAGAAACTTGTACAAGATATATGGTGAATGGTGAAAAAAACACAAACCACAATTTACAAGTGGCACTCGAACCAGGCTACCACTGGTGAAAATATTTTTTTAATGCTTGCAATTAGGCCATTCACAAAAAGTTCCAGTGAACATGTCAAGACTGATGCCGTTCTTTTTTTGTTCTGGAGTTGCCCTCCAGTTCTCCGTGTATATTCTCTACTATATATATAAACAAATTTCATGGGCGGGGATAATGGTGACGCTGTTTTCTTGTTACAACTGGTTTCAATGCGTTATTAAATACTGACGTGTACCACTTTCTTTTGTCATATTGAGTAAATATTTGGGTATATGTTAACCTTAACATGGGTTCATACACCATAGCCATAACGGAGTTAAGACAGAACATGATAAATTAGCAATGTATACATTGACAAATACAATATTCAGAGATACACACACTAACACAATATCACATTTCGAATTACAGGTATATGCTGGAAAGCAGGCGTCCAAAAAAAGATTGTCAGGGGGAGGGTAAAAATATCATGGCATGTTTTGTCAGTTATATGGCACAAAAAAGTACAAGACAAAATAATTTTTAAAATTCAAATTTAATAAAATTCATTAAAATTTGAGTTTAACTCAAGACAACTGTTCAAACGTGTACGGCGCTGAACATTGTAAACAGGAAAGTTGAATACAACATGGCACTCATCTTCAACGGCATTCATACATTGGGAACACTTCCCTTCTACCCATATGCATGTGGTGATCCTTACTACTGAATGCAGCGTTACACAACAAACCAAGCCAAACAAACAAACAAACTAAGCTATTCAATCGCCTCTCTGTCATAACTGTGCAGTAGGTCAGAACTATCTATTCTGAGCAGGTGGGTAGGAGAGTGATTGAGTGAGTGAGTGAGAGTGAATGAGTTAGTGAGTGAGTGAATGGGGTTAAACTTTCTTTAGGATTTAGTGTGAGGAAGGTCCGAAGTGACTTTTATGAAATAGTACATGTCCTGGACATGTATCACTTTTGTGAAACAAACTAAGCTATTCAATCGCCCCTGTGTCATTACTGTGCAATAGGTTAGAACTATTTGTTATATGGGCAGATGGGCAGGTGAGTGAGTGAGTGAGTTGGGTTAAAGATTCTTTGGAATTTGTGGGAGGAAAGGTCCAATGTGACTGTTATGAAATAGTTGTGTTTTGTCTGTTTGTTATTCAACGCCGTACTTGCCAATATTCCAGGCAGATGACGGCGGTCTGTAAATAATTGAGTCGAAACAATTCTGTCATTACTATCATGAACAGGAATCGACGCCGTTGGGTTACGACATGTAATTAAGTCTCCGAGTCACACCATCCAATACATTAAATCGGATACTCTAACGACCAGCATTGGTTGCTCTTGTAAACCGAAATACCCACGAACGTTTATGAAATAAATTAACGTCTATTAGTAACGCTTTCTTGGAGCAATGCATTTATGTCATGATATGTTAAGATATGTCTAAATTTAAATGTCTTCGACCAAGAACATATCAATACATCTGTTCTTGATCCTTGAACCCCACCGACCTGGACGACAAGGGTGTTGACGGATTTCTGACCGTAGAGAGAGATACATAACAGCTGAATAACAGATCTTCAACGAGTCCCTGAACGGTTGTAACTCCGTCTCAGTTACACGTGCGTCGGGGTATATACCGAGGCTATAGTGGGAAACACGGTCTACCAATGATTGATCAGCTCTGTGTGACATGTGTTACCTGCGCATGGTCATTGCCTGATCACAATAACTCCATTAACTCACGAAGTGTTGCCAGAACACAAACTAAACACCTTTGACATTGCAGTTCAGAGAAACATAATTACAGATACGTATCACCACACATATAACGGCCCCTCATTGGTACAATATGCATTATTGTGTGAAAGCCTTGATGTGTTAGATGGTGAATGTGAACGGCTAAACGAGTAAGTTATGATGCAACCGACGATGGATGCGACAACAATCGTAGGGACGTGCTCCTTTGTGTAATGAGAGAGACGATGCCAACAATACTGCCATTAATGTGGGTTTAAGTACACTGGTGCCCATGCATGCAAATCAAACCGTAATCAAAATCAGACAATGACATATTTCGGCTTATGTTATGAACCATTATTTCAATATTTCGGTTAATCACGTTACTGAAAGTTCAGGATTTGATGGATGGGATGGCGGAAAACTGTTTACCGGAATCACAGGGTCAGTTCATGAATACGTTTGGGTAGGCTTTACGATGCCTCATCCGGTAGTAGGAATGTCTCCTCCTCCGAAGTGGCATGCTGTCAAAGAGGCAGCACATGACTATGTATGTATGTATGTATGTATGTATGTATGTATGTATGTGTGTGTGTGTGTGTGTGTGTGTGTGTGTGTGTGTGTGTGTGTGTGTGTGAGAGAGAGAGAGAGAGAGAGAGTGAGTGAGTGAGTGAGTGAGTGAGTGAGTGAGTGAGTGAGTGAGTGAATGAATGGCAAAGGAAGGCTATACCTGGCTCAAGTGCCCTCATTCACCAGAATCAATCTCTTCCCCCATGTGGACCCGGGGTAGAATGTGTCCTCAGTCCCTCATTGCTTGTCGTATGTGGCGACTAAATTGGGCAACCCGTTTGCCGTGGGTTGCACCCCTGTGTCGGTGGAGAAATGGATTCTGGTGGTTGAGGGCACTGGAGCCAGGTATAGCTTTCCTTTGCCCAATACATCACTTCGACCCTGACTTTACCAAGGCGGGTGGTAGAATGGGCCCGGTTCTATCAATCGGCTGGTCATGTCAAGCCCTGTGTATGAAGTTTTTGATATTGTTTAACACTGTGTTTTACGTTTTGAAAAGTCTTCTGTTCGTGAAGTTGTTTAGATCCCTGCATATAATAGATAGAGCATATACCCAGAAGGCGGTGGCTCATGGGTCAATCTGGTAGATCTTTTCGATCCTCTGGAGTATACCATTCCTGTATCCCTATGGCGTTAGTTTGCTGGAACTCCGCTTACATATGACAACGCCCTTGTTGGCGCTCCGTGGCGGGCAGGAACCAGGATTGCTGAACCAATATATATACAACCAGTGGGTAAACACAATCCCAAAAAAACAAAACGGCAACTATTGGAATCTGATTCTGGACTCGATTCATCTGATGATGAAACAGTGACGAGATTATTGTATACCGAAAGGGATACTTGGCCTCGTTTTCTGGTCATGGAAGCTAAGGGTGACCGTACTCCAGCTTCGTATTCACCATTTCTCTTGGCAAAAGGACTCAAGGGTAAAGCTGGTGAGTTAAAGGATGTTAAGAAATTACGTTCTGGAACGCTTTTGATAGAATGTACCAGGAAATCACCAACCAATTTGGTAGATATACCTGATAGCTGTTCTGCTTATAAGACCTTAAATTTCAGCAAGAGCATAATCGCAGCCGCCCAGCTGACTGGCAAGATCTTCCGGACCTGGCTGGGAAGATCTTCTAAGTCACTTCAAGGAACCCTACACACGCTCGCCAGCCGACGCGTTCCTTGTGCCTGCTTGACACCACCACCCCCCTCTCCAACCCAAGCCCAAATTTACATTTTGGGGGGTTGCACTTCTTTAATTATTCTTTACGCATTTTCACCCAATAGTATAAGTGCAACCCTGTGTGCGAAATACGCGGAATGTATCGTTTTACATCTCCACATGCGGAAAGCGAAAGTAAAATCTCCAATTGAAGAAGAAGTTGAAACTTCATTCTCAGTTACGGTGTACTCGGGGCTATATTAAACATGTTCAGCTATGTAAGATGCCGATTGAAGGACACGCGGGACTTATCTTTTTTTATGTGCTTCGTAAATGCTGGTTTCATATGATGATCAGGATGTTATGACTTGTTCGCATGTTGTGCTGTCAAGCCATGAGAATACCTTGCAAGATGGATACGTATCCATAGTTACTCCAGTTGTGAGAGTATGGATTTGGGATATACTCGGATGAGTATGCGCTAACGAGCAATTAGCATAAATGATTAGGCATCGATGCCGGTGTATATAGAAGTTGGAAATGTGCAGCTTTCAGTTTATATTCGTGTATAATTACGCTGTGTTGATGATGGCCATGCTGCTGCTGACACAGACAAGACGTAGACACACTGACGACACACACAGACAAGGCAAGGACACACACAGACAAGACATACACACACTGACGACACACACAGACAAGACATAGACACACTGATGACCCACACAGACAAGACAAGGACACACACTGACAACACACACAGACAAGACATAGACACACTGATGACACACACAGACAAGACATAGACACACTGATGACCCACACAGACAAGGCAAGGACACACACTGACGACACACACAGACAAGACATAGACACACTGATGACCCACACAGACAAGACAAGGACACACACTGACGACACACACAGACAAGACATAGACACACTGATGACCCACACAGACAAGGCAAGGACACACACTGACGACACACACAGACAAGACATAGACACACTGATGACCCACACAGACAAGGCAAGGACACACACTGACGACACACACAGACAAGACATAGACACACTGATGACCCACTTAGACAAGGCAGAACAAACAGACAAGACATAGACACACTGATGACCCACACAGACAAGACAAGGACACACACAGATGACACACACAGACAAGACATAGACACACTGACGATACACACAGACAACAGGTGGACACACAGATGACCCACACAGACAAGACAAGGGCACACAGACTAGACATAGACACACTGATGACCCACAAAGACAAGGCAAGGACACACACTGACGACACACACAGACAAGACATAGACACACTGACGACACACACAGACAAGGCAAGGACACGCACAGACAAGACATCGACACACTGACGACACACACAGACAAGACATAGACACACTGACGACACACACAGGCAAGACAAGGACACACACTGACGACACACACAGACAAGACATAGACACACTGACGACACACACAGACAAGGCAAGGACACACACTGACGACACACACAGACAAGACATAGACACACACAGACAAGACATAGACACACTGATGACCAACACAGACAAGAGGTGGACAAACACTGATGACCTACACAGACAAGAGGTGGACACACACTGATGACCACACAGACAAGAGGTGGACACACACTGATGACCCACAGAGACAAGAGGTGGACACACACTGATGACCACACAGACAAGACAAGGACACACACTGATGACCCACTCAGACAAGAGGTGGACACACACTGATGACCCACACAGACAAGAGGTTGACACACACTGATGACCACACAGACAAGACATAGACACACTGACGACACACACAGACAAGGCAAGGACTCACACTGACGACACACACAGACAAGACATAGACACACACAGACAAGACATAGACACACTGATGACCCACACAGACAAGAGGTGGACAAACACTGATGACCTACACAGACAAGAGGTGGACACACACTGATGACCACACAGACAAGAGGTGGACACACACTGATGACCCACACAGACAAGAGGTTGACACACACTGATGACCACACAGACAAGACAAGGACACACACAGATGACACACACAGACAAGACATAGACACACTGATGACCCACACAGACAAGAGGTGGACAAACACTGATGACCTACAAAGACAAGAGGTGGACACACACTGATGACCACACAGACAAGAGGTGGACACACACTGATGACCCACACAGACAAGAGGTGGACACACACTGATGACCACACAGACAAGAGGTGGACACACACTGATGACCCACACAGACAAGAGGTTGACACACACTGATGACCACACAGACAAGAGGTGGACACACACTGATGACCTCACAGACAAGAGGTGGACACACACTGATGACCCACACAGATAAGGTATGGACACACATAGAGTATGACATATGGATGTATAAAAATGACTGAAACAGGGTCTTGACAACAAAGAGTTTTATTTTCCTCATTCTTTTCATACAAACTTGTCAGAATATCAATCCAACTGGTATCAAACATAAACAGTTTTACCAAACAGATCAGAATGTATGCACATTTATACAGAGTCTCAGCAAATTACATATATACATAGCTGTACAAATTACAAATATCCACAGTTAAAGTATATACAAGCTATTCAGCAAAGGCATTAAAACACTGATGCTTCAGAGGTATGGCAACAAAGACTTGTGGGCATCGACATCTACAGTTTCTTAAAAACACATCATCTCAAATAAAAGGAATTGTGGGGAGAAGATGAAACAAAAAATAATGAAATTTGATTGGATATTAATGTGGTGTAGTCTTGTTCATATATTGTGGTGATATACTGTGAAGTAAAAAATTAAATAACAACAAATGATAAACAAAAGTTGATCTGTCAGAATCAGGCCACTGACCGACCTAGGCCTTTTCTGAATGTATTGCATAAATTGATGAAGTCATGCTATTGTGTTCAAAGGTAGTTGGGTTGACACTTTCCAAAGATTTCTTCCTCAGCCTAATTTGAAATGAGTTCTATATATATCCCGAGAAAAGGCTATGTGCTTGACATACATGTATATACTACTCAATAGAAGTTCAAGACTTATTTTTTCATATTACTATAGTTAATATGTCATGGCTGGTTGGTATTGCAACACACAGCCTTCCAACTGTTCCAATTCTTAACTTGTTTTAAATAGTATATCTTTGCAGCCATGTAAAGAATGAAGGTTGTTTCATCTGTGATCATATAAGTCATTAAGTACACAATATGTTTATCAAAGTTGATGATACTTAATATCAAAATACATTCTGGATGACACTTCTCTAACGTCACACTGCCCATAGATACCCGCCCAGGATGGGATTGACATGACCCACTCTTCACTGCTTGATTGTCATTTGGAGTTTTGAGGAAAACAGACATACATGTACATCCCACCATCATACATAACAGGAACACACTTCAAGACAGTGTGCTCCATCTGGTCCCTGGATTCAACTCAAGAATGACGGAATGCTACACTTTCAAGAAGACATTTTTGAAGTAAATGACCATGAAACTGATGTTCATAATTGATGTCACAAGCTCCAATGATCATACACTTTGGCCCTCAGTCTATGAAGGATCATACTCACATGAACTCACGCAAAGTGAAGGTCGATTCTTAGATATTGTTGGCTTACATTGTTTTTATAAATTATGACAGATATGAGTCCATGAACTTCCTACTGATTGAAGGAGTTATCTGTTTGTACCTCCACATCTGTCAACGATGGTGCTTTCTAACTCGATGCAATTCATTCAAAGCACCATCTTCCTGAGGCAAGAGAGTTAACTGACTTAAAGTCCAGTTTCCACCCTTGCCGATCTAGGCTGGAATTACTGGGCACGATCGTAGCGCCACCAGTGGCTATTACCAGTTATGCCTATTGTGACTATTATAGTTATGTCCCTTCTATGTCCCTCCTATGCCTCTCCTATGGACCAATTAGATTCCACCTCTCGTATCACTTGCTTTTGCTTCTCACAAAAAGGTTGCGCCCAGTCAGGATGATCTGATCGATAATCAAGATCTATATTGTGATAAAACGGGTCTTACATGCGAATTGTATCAAATCACGTGAGCACCTTGATTAAAAACATGAAAAGATTTGGAAATTATCTGCTGACAACGAGTTGGCTGTGCCCATGCTTTGCCAATCCTGCAATCGACCGAAATCTGCACGACCGTTTACGAACCAGATTTCGATTTCGGTGTCTCGTTAGTCTAGCCGAAATGTAACTCCATAATACCAGCCTTGTTCGGCAAGGGTGGAAACTGGACTTTTATAGTCAGTTAACTCTCTTGCCTCGGGAAGATGACAAACCACTTAAAGCAGCATGACTATTAACCAACAGAAGTTCACTCACAGAAACATCCACTTACTTATCGTGAAGCAAGAACAAGGACCTAACTGGTGCCTGCTGATATGGCACTGCGGTAACAAATAACGTGTTTACATTCACAAACAAACACAAACACATCCAGCACTATCAGAAACAGTTTCTACATCTGCGACAGCTTGGTACAAATGTACAAAATTTGACTCATATAGTTACACAATATCATAAAGCACCATAATACAAGTCAGACATGTGATACCTGCCATTCTGTGTGGAAGATCCACCTTTGTGGACAGTTTACTACAGACCTTCGGGGGTGGTTTACCACAGAACCAGGTGGGTTGTTTACTGGGCCCTGGAGAGCTGTTTACTATAAAGGCCCATGGAGCTGTTTACTACAGACCCATTTGAGCTGTTTACTATAGATCTCATTGAGCTGTTACTACAGACCCATGTGAGCTGCTACTACAGATCTTATTGAGCTGTTTACTACAGACCTGTGTGAGCTGTTTGCTACAGATCTGACTCAGCTGTTCACTACAGGCACATTGAGCTGCTACTACAGATCACACTCAGCTGTTAACTACAGACCAATGTGTGCTGTTTACTACAGCCCCTGTAGTGATTCCACTGCTGCACTGATTCATGCATATATATCACTTAATAATGTCAGTTTTTGACCAACAATGGTCCTGTTCTAAGGACTTTTCATCCACTCGATCACAAAGCAAAAGGAGTACTTACATTGAACCTAACTCAAACCTAAACTTAAAAATTTGAGAAGAATTCATTAACAAATATTAATATTTTCATTTTCTGTCAGAGCAGTATAAATCGTGATAAAACTACACAGCTGACCAGTATCAAGTCAGTGACCGTGTGTATTTGAGTTGTATTCATAATATATGGGAGAGAGTCAGTTGGATTGAAACGCTGCTTTGAACAATATTCCAGTTATATCATGGCGTGTCAGCTTAATGTGCGAGGAAAGCCATATAGTGGGCTTTCCTCGGTGAAACCCACGAAAACTGATATGGTGCTGACAAACCTAGTAACATAGTCGGGGCGAACCGGGATTTGAACGCACAAGTATAGATTTCTGGTGTGCCCAAGGGACTCAACTCTGCACAGCGAATTTGTGGGGCCTCAGACGACTGTGCGTTACATGGGAGGAAGCCAAGAGTGCAGGTTGTAGGCATTTACTGCTGTAATGAACCCAACATGAACAGGCAGGGTGAGGCATTCACTGCTGTAATGAACCCAACATGAACAGGTAGGGTGAGGCATTCACAACTGTCATGAACTCTACATGAACAGGCAGGGTGAGGCATTCACAACTGTCATGAACTCTACATGAACAGGCAGGGTGAGGTATTCACAACTGTCATGAACTCTACATGAACAGGTAGGGTGAGGCATTCACAACTGTCATGAACTCTACATGAACAGGCAGGGTGAGGCATTAACAACTGTCATGAACTCTACATGAACAGGCAGGGTGAGGCATTCACCACCATCATGAATTCTACATGAACAGGCAGGGGGAGGCATTCACCACTGTCATGAACTCTACATGAACAGGCAGGGGGAGGCATTCACCACTGCCATGAACTCTACATGAACAGGCAGGGTGAGGCATTCACCACCGTCATGAATTCTACATGAACAGGCAGGGTGAGGCATTCACCACTGCCATGAACTCTACGTGAACAGGTAGAGAGTGAGGCATTCACCACTGCCATGAACTCTACGTGAACAGGTAGGGTGAGGCATTCACCTCTACCATGAACTCTACATGAACAGGTAGAGAGTGAGGCGTTCACCACTGCCATGAACTCTACATGAAAAGGTAGGGTGAGGCATTCACCACTGTCATGAACTCTACATGAAAAGGTAGAGAGTGAGGCATTCACCACTGCCATGAACTCTACATGAACAGGTAGGGTGAGGCATTCACCACTGCCATGAACTTTACATGAACAGGCAGGGTGAGGCATTCACCACTACTATGAACTCTAAATGAACAGGTAGGGTGAGGCATTCACCACTGTCATGAACTCTACATGAAAAGGTAGAGAGTGAGGCATTCAACACTGCCATGAACTCTTCATGAACAGGCAGGGTGAGGAATTCACCACTGTCATGAACTCTACATGAACAGGCAGGGTGAGGCATTCACAACTGTCATGAACTCTACATGAACAGGCAGAGAGTGAGGCATTCACCACTGCCATGAACTCTACATGAACAGGTAGAGAGTGAGGCATTCACCACTGCCATGAACTCTACATGAACAGGTAGGGTGAGGCATTCACCACTGCCATGAACAGGTAGGGTGAGGCATTCACCACTGCCATGAACTCTAAATGAACAGGTAGAGAGTGAGGCATTCACCACTGCCATGAACTCTACATGAACAGGTAGGGTGAGGCATTCACCTCTGCCATGAACTCTACATGAACAGGTAGGGTGAGGCATTCACCACTGCCATGAACAGGTAGGGTGAGGCATTCACCACTGTCAAGAACTCTACATGAACAGGTAGGGTGAGGCATTCACCTCTGCCATGAACTCTTCATGAACAGGTAGGGCAAGGGCAGGCCAAGTGTCATAATCACGACAAATCTGGGTATCAAACCAACGATCAACACTACTTTGTGGGCAAGGGACACAACTCTTCAATGTAACGGAAGCTTATCACTCCACCCACACTCCCCACAGACTAGTACAGGTTTGATGTAGGCATAGCTTCAATTAAAATACAACATTCTCATTTTGTAACATTTTTACAAAACTTTGACTTGGTTCATTCATTAAACACTTCAGTTATTAAAAGGGTTACATTAATTTCATGATCTAAACTGTTTTAAAACTGGTGTATGTCAATTAACCTATCTGACCTGCCCAGGTCACCACATAATTGTGTGCAGTGTTGTATATTGAACAACACCATCAAACTTTGTCACATTTAGCAGCATTAGAAATTGGCACTAGTCCTATAGTCTTTGCCAAACTGCCCAATAGTTAAGGTATCATAAGGACTGGTAGAAATTTGCCCTTTTTAAGGGTTTTGCAATATGTTTTCATCGTAAGGACTAGTAGACTAAAACAGTTAGTTTCTAATGCTGTTTAGGTGTTAAGTGAGGATAATACACATGGAAGAACAACTTCTTTTATCAATATCTTATCCTAACTTAGTACTCCAACTTCTAAATGCCTCTGAAAGAAGTCTTGTGAGCTTAGAAAATGGTATCATTGCGATTATTCAGGGTATATGGAGACTAAGGCTTAAAAAATAATAGTCTTGGTTCTCAGGCACCGCCAGGATCATCATGAAGTCTGCCGCATGTTTCGTTTTTATTTCCATTTACAAAAAAATAAAAATAAATTCTAATGCTTAAAAACAATGCGATCCAATATACCATGAAGTTACTTCCCTTTACACGCACACTGCTTATGGTAATGGCGGCAATAGGAGTTTGTATGCTTGTTTAAGTAGGGACACTATTTCCCAGGTTGATGGTACACAAGTGTTTGTAACATTCTAGTTTGAACAAGCAGAAAAAAAACAAAAAAACACCACACGCCTGCACTAGCACTATATATTCAAAAGTCTTTGCCTGAGAACCAATTCTTTTATCTTTTTAAGCCTATGTAAAGAGTGGACTGTTTCCATGACTCCGTGACTCCGAGACTCCATGATCTGCCAGCCCACTTCACCCGGGCCGAGGGCTGCTATCACATGCCTGACAGTTGACTGACAGCGTCTATTTCTTCCTCATATCAGCAACAGTGACTTCCTTGTCCTCCAGGATCTTCACGTGGGGGCTGGACTGAAGGAAAGGAACAGGAGTGAGTGAGTATGGTTTTACGCCGCTTTTAGCAATATTCAAGCAATAACACGCCGGGGGACACCAGAAATGGGCTTCACTCATTGTACTCATGTGGGGAATCGAACCTGGGTCTTCGGCGTGACGCGAGACGCTTTAACCACAAGGCTACCCACCGCCCCACAAGGAACAGGAAGTGAGTTGGGTCTAATGCTGCAGTATTTTATATTTCAGGGCATGCCAGCTTGATATGGAAGAAAAGCCTGAGGTGATCTAATAACACTATAAAGCCAAGAATAACAATTCTGTCTGGTACATATGTTTACATTGTCTTAAACTTCTGACTAGACCACAAGGATCCAAACTAGTCAAGTACAACTTACATATCTTGAAAAACCCATCTTGCTCACCATCTTGAACAATTCATTAAGATAACAGTCAGTGTGAACAAGGATTCCCTGTCTGTGGAGCAAGGGAGGTAGCTTCATATTTGTAAGGATAAGGTATATGGATGAACAACTTCTTTATTACAATTAGGACCGACGTTTCGGTGTAGGTTCAAGTGCCGTTATCAAGCAAGTGATGTACAGAGTATGGTTGACAAGCATATATACATGATAGGAGGCAGTGTTTATACAGCTGAGCAGTTTACTTAGTACTCCAACTACTCAATGCCTCTCACAGAAGCTTCATATTTCACACAAAAACATTTGACAGTCTTACAAACACTGCTTCTATCACTCTCCTACTTTACAGGATTCATAATTAAGGGGGTCCTGGGGTCTTTGAAGTTTGCTCCTATAGTATTTGAACCTAAGAAACACATTAATCTGTCATTGACAATGTTGCCTATGTAAAAGATTCCTGGAATTGTGTGCCTAATTGTGTGCCTAGGTTGAACACTGCACAATCTCATTAAAATCAGATCTAGTTCTCGCTACCGCTAAACAAAGATCTGAGGACATCCCATTACGAGTAACGTCAGACCGCCCTTGCGCGAACTTTGACCGACCGATGGAATGACCAATCAGAAGGCAGCTTTCTCGTGCTTTACGGCACCAATTTCAAATTGGCGACTACGCTTCAAAACATATTTTGACAAATTCTCGATTACAAATTTGAAACCTAAACAAAAGAACATTCTGGAATGGCTAATAGATGGTCTAGATTGTATGGATTCAGTCGTTAAACCTGTAACTATCGTTCGGAATACCCTGTGTTCAAGTTTTTGAGGTTGTATGATTAGAAAACACATTCCGACTGTCACTTTCATGATCTAGTAAGCGATGCTCTGATTGGTCGGATGAAAGGTCGTTCTGACATGACCCCCTAATGGGATGTCTTCAGATCTTTGTTTAGCAGTAGCGAGTCTGATTTTAATGAGATTGATCACTGCATGACATTGCTCCAACATCATGTACAACTTACTTCAAACAACGGAGGCTCTTTGGTGTGATAGTGGAACCCAGGCTGACTGCAGCCCCCTATTTCTGCGATGCCACGGTCGTTTGTCAGGCGAAATATACCTGTTCTGTAACCACAACAAAACTAGTTTCAACCGCAAAAAATGCAAACACATTTCACACAACAAAAACAGACATTTGTGACATATATTTAAGTGTCAGAAATATATTGAAATTATTAAATGAGCGTGTGTGTGATATGGCTTTTCAGAACAGGTGACATAACATCAACAATGATAGGTTGTGATGTCATCACATACTGTGACATCATAAGTGATGTGTGACAATGTCACTCTGTTAAAATGTCCAGTACATGCATGCAGAGACATGCTGAACATCTGTGTACGGCTAAAAAAATAATAGTCTTGGTTCTCAGGCACTGCCTGGTTCATCATAAATACTGTATTCCAGTATTTTACTAATCAAGGAATACATTTATGTAGGGAGGCCCTTAGGGTTGAGGTCCTTACAGGCTAGGGTATCTGCCCCACCATCCAACCGTGGGATAAATGCATAGTGTGAGATAGGATAAGTTTAAAAATTTGTAAATTTTCTAATAAATTGTATATTTATATACTTATCCTATCTCACACGCTAAATGCCCACCTAACCATCCCCGCATCACAGTTACACCAGCCTGTACGCTCTTGATTGAGAATGAGGGTGCTGGATGTGTCAGGTGATCAGATCGCAGGGGTCGTGCTGCACGGGATTGCAGTGGTGCATGACCCATGATCACAGTGCTGATTTTGTGCTGTGTGGGATGTGTTGGGGTGATTGGTGTTTTTAAAGCTGGAAACTTTGTTCTAGGACGTTTCAACATCAGGATCGAAGAATAAGAAGAAATGCATAGTGTGAGATAGGAAAAGTTTAAGAATTTGTTTATCTGGTTACACAACTGTTTATTTGGTTACACAACTGTTTATTTGGTTACTAGTCTGAACAACCAAAACAAACAACAAAAAATAATGACACCACCCGCCCTCACTATATTTTCAAAAAACATTGCCTGAGAACCAATTCTTTTATTTTTTTAAGCCTAAGCTATATAAAGTAAATGTACTTTCATATCACAAAAAAGGTATCTCCCTTCCTTCAGTAGATACTGAGGACCACTCTATCAACAACCAATGAAGATTGGGGTTAGAATTGGTCTTCAGCAACCCATGCTTGTAGTAAGAGGCGACTAACGGGATCGGGTGGTCAAGCTCTCTGACTTGGCTGATGCATGTCATCGTATCCCAATTGTGTGGATTGATGCTCATGATGTCAGTCACTGAATTGTCTGGTTCAGACTCGATTATTTTCAGACCGCTGTCATATAGCTGGAATATTGCTGAGTTCGGCGTTTAACAACAAACAACAACACTCAATCAACATGGAACCAGTCTTCCTTCACACTTACTCATTATATTTCGGGGAGCACACTATGGCGATGGCTTCTGGCAGCATGATCTGGTAGGGGTAGTGACTGTGTAGATCAACACTGGACAGGAAGGCTGTTTGTGTTGGATGGGTCTGTAAATCAGGGAATGAGTCAGTGAATCAGGCTTTATGTAGCTTTTAGCAATATTCCAACCTTATCATGGCAGAGGACACGATGGTGCCGTTGTACAAAGCAATCTTAGTGCTAAGGTGATTGTAACTCCTATACCTTAACATAGAATTACGACAGGCGTAACACTAAGGATGTTTTGTACCCATCATCCAGACCTGAACCCACAGTATGTCATGGAGAACCTCTCCAAGCGTACTACTCAAAACAAGTTAATATTAACTATAGTAATACGAAAAGAATCTGGTGTTCATGAACTTCTTTCGAATAGTATACCTCAAATGCAAAGAGAATATTTTTAGTATCTTCTTATAATATCTTCAACAAATATTAATATCAAGAAAACAATGTACATTATTAGTTGTATTGACCTATCATATGTTAGTCCTTATGATGATGTAAATGTTTCTCTGACAACTGCTCTGTGTCTATGTGACCTCCTTACGGTCTCGGGGCTACCTACATGTATCCAGCCGAGGTTGATGAGGTTGTATTTGTCCTGGTAGTCGATTAGATCGATCTCGTTCTCCATGTCGCAGCTGTCGGGGGTGCCGCGCTGCTGGGGGATGAACAGGTGGGTCACGTGGAACTGGTCCTGGGCCTGAAGTAGAAGAACATAATGTCGATCATCATACACGAACCAAAGACACACAGAACTATCCCCAGTGCCTTATGACATCAAATATATCAACACCTTGGCCTACTTGCACAAAGCGATCTTAGCGCTAAGATGATCGTAACTCCCATACTTTAACATAGGCTTACAATAGTCGTAGCGCTAAGATCGCTTTGTGCAAGTGGGCCCAGTTGAAGAAGCTCAAAACTGTGAGGCTTGCTGACGAGAGATTAGTGATGTCATGGTAACGGATCATGTCACAATGGTCTGCAAAGCATTCTGCTGCCGTTCATTGATTTCACCTAAGTGATTATCTCCCTTGGAAGCCAGTTTGGGATAATAAATATTCATCTATGAAGTTGGAAATCTGGCCATATTACGTTGACTTGACATGATGTAACTGCTAAATAGTTCAAAGCGGTGTTATTTCCACCTCGTTCATTCATTTCTTTAATCTAAAGCTCCGTACCAGAGTACCAAACAGTATGCCTAATGTTTCCGTCTTCTTGTCTGTGTTGGATTGAGCAATGTCAAGGAACTTCTTCATGAGGTCCGTGGGGACTGTGATCTCCCTCAGACCTCCAGCCCCACCCCCTCCTCCGATACTGGTGAAGTGGTCAAAGGTCATGACAGAAGGCTTGGTGCTCCGGTCTACCGAGGGGGGATTAGTTGGCCTGAAACAGCATCAATTTTCAATAGAGACAATGCATCAAAGAAAATTTGGAAGAAAACATGCATCAATGACATCACCTGACTTTTGCAAACTTGTGATCTTATGTTGTTGTTGTTGTTGTCTGTTTGTTGTTAATGCCTCATGCAGCAATCTTCCAGCTATATGTAAATACTGTAAATCTTGAAATTAACGCGAGTATGAATTAAATATGAAAAATGCAAGTGGTCTTTCCTCGCATTAATTAACTTATGTCTTGAAATGACTATCAACAATAAGACGGCCAACTTGAATATAAACACAAACGCAGTTTATTGAGCAGCAGTTGTAACAAGTATATAACAATGTCATTTAAAGAATAGGAATTACACAATTGGTATCCGGTGAGTTATCACTGCTGGGGTCAAGAGTTCTACCCAATCGTGTCAAGCTTGTTGACACCTTCTCCGCATACCAATCAGTGAACTGTTGTTGGTTCAATTATTTTATTGCCTTTGAACTTCCTTACGGAAGTGCTCTACTCAGCACTAATAAGCAGTGCTATTTGCTTTTTGATTGGATTAAGGAAAGGATATGTATCATTCCATTGGGGATGGGGTGAGGGCAGTCGCATTGATATTGAGTCGCATTTTTAGTCAGGGGTCAGCAGTCGTATTAATTTGGAGACGCATTAATTTCCAGATTTACAGTAATCAACTCTAGGCCAGACATCCAGTGATTGATATCATGAGCATCAATCCATGCAATTGGGATATGTCACCTGGTAAATATAGTCGCTGTTTACAACTAGGATAGGGGGCTGGGGAACTACATTCTTACCCGGAATGCCCAACGGTATATCTCTCCAGATGCTTTTTGCCCTATTTGCTATTCATTCTCCAGAGCTTACCATGTACTGACATCATGGACATTGAGCATCCCAATCTACAAAGTATATGTTCACATCCACTACTCAAACCCCACCTCCAGTCTCACTGCCAACCAAAGGTGTATTAAGCAAAAGGACCTCCCCTTTTCATCTACAAGTTCATGACAATACCCATCCATTTTTCAAATATAGACATAATAAAGATTATTTAACATTGTTTAACTACCAGTTTTCACAATTGCCAAGGTGAACATAAATCAATGTTGGGCAAGGTGCGTTTTGTCTGTTTCAGTTTCTTCCTTTCTGCATACAGTATCATCACCATTAAAGGAATATAATTGTTTGCTCTTCCAGTGGCCTCCTATGAAAGTCAGAGATTGGGACGGCACCAACTCTGGCTTCTTGCATGGTCGATAATGGCATGCAACAGAAGGGATGAAAGTATGTCTCAACTCTTCACCCATCCTTCCGAGGCAAGGCAGTTAACTGATACATCCGGTTCGAAAACTGCTGTGCTGATTTCGGTCGATTGCAGGTTTCGCAAAGCATGTGTACCGCCCACTCGGCGTCAACAGATATTTTCCAATTTTTTTCATGTTTTTAAAGAAGGTGCTCACATGATTTGGTGCACTTCGCGAAGTAAGACCTGATTTTGATTATCAATCAGATCGTCTTGACCGGGCACTGCCGTTTTGTTCGAAGCTAATGCAAGTGATATGAAAGGTGGTATCTGATTGGTCAGTATGAGGGACATAGACGGGAGATAACCTGTAACAGCCACTGGTGGCGCTACAATCGAGCCCAGAAATTCCAGCCTAGATCGGCAAGGTTGGAAACTGGACTTTTACACTCAGTTCACTTCCTTGCCTGGGGATGTTGCTCTTCACCAGGATGAACAGTGTACTAATAAAAAACATCCTCACAAACCTGCTCTACTTTAGCCCATAAAATGCACAACATACTGCTCATGAGACCTCACATGAAAAATGAGAACAAACAATCTACAGATCTTACTCATTATCACTAATGGCCAGCTTCTTCAGTTCTCGGTCAGGTATGCCTGGTACTGACGAGGGTCCCGTGATCTGGTCGTACGATGGTGGGGCTGGGAGCACGGCAGAGGGCGGGGCAGTGGGTGGCAACCCGGGACTACTGATGTCGTTCAAGCCAAACTGAGGGTCCAGTTCGGGATCGAAAACCGGTACAGTTGCCGCGGCAACCCTTGGCTGCTGCCTGTCCTGATCCTGCTGGGCACGACTCTGCAGCTCTCGGTAACGTTCCTCCTGCTCCCGGCGCCATTTGTCATCAGCTTCCTTGGCCTTGAGCGCTTTAATGGCAGCCTGCTCCTGCTGCACTCGTTCCTCTTCCTCCCTCCTCAGCTGCGCCTCCTGCTCCAACGCTTCCTGGCGCTTACGCTACAACAACAGGGTTTTACCAGACTTAAAATATTGTGTCCTATACGCATAAACGGATGGAAACAATTAATTTACAGTGCATTTCCTGTTGCATGCAATTAGTATAGCGATATGAAACATTAAATGTATCAAAATTGTGGATTTCATTTACATATAACCAACCTTTCTATACTACACTTAACATGCTCAATGTTCAGGGTATCAATGATTGATTTTCCTAAAAATCACAGGATTGGTTTTACAATAAAAGCTGGTTGCCATGTTTTAAATGAAACTTTATTTCTGTGAAAATTCTAATCAGAATTGCTAAATTGAAATTATGCATGCAAAGTTTCTGTTTCATAAACCTAAAGATACCATGGATAGTACTTATTTATTGTCTTTTGTCTCAGTGTTACACCTTATTTAAGGTTTGTGTGTTCAAACTGTTCAGTGGTTACACTGTTAATCTCATGTAGTCAGCAATAACTCTTCGCAGTCATTAACTTGTTTCAGAAATAGGCTTCAAGGGCTGTCATTCTAGTAAGGGGAGGTAACTTAGTCACTTATTATTTCCAAAGATGCAGCAATTCCACTTTACAGAGTTGCTAGGCTCTGCCAAATCTGTCGATTTCTTTAAGAAATGAATTATCCTTTAATTGATTTATACATATGTTATATGATGGGCCTATGGCCTCCCTTCTCAGAATAAACATCTTCAGAGCCAGGATCAACTTGCCTTGGGCTACACCCTTAGACCTTACATATTTTTTGCCTGGTTTACGGATTTGAAACCTTAAAAATAGAAAATTCGGAAAAGAAATAAAATCAGAAAGACAAGGTTGTTTTCAAACCACTGACAGTAAAGATCACTTTGACAATAAACAGACAATGAAATGCAATTGTCAGATTTCAGACTTACAACATTTATAAGGACACAAACCCAGGCCAAAAGGTTATATTTTTTCTAACACCTTCCAATCCAAATTCAACTTGGTCTAATGATTCCATGGTCCGTCTGTCTGCACCGTACCTATGTATGTGGGATGGTAAGTACCCACCACCTGTGTCTATCCTCCCACACTGAGCTCACTTGAACAGTTACTGTTCACGCAGCATTAGACCAAACTCACTCTAGGGGACATTTATTACAAACTCTACATTGTGCATTTCATTCTATATTATTTGAATATGACTGTACGCACCTCCACAGCCTGCCTCTCCCTCTCCTGGGCCGTGTATCTCGTCTTCAGTTTGCTCTTGATCTCTTCGGCTAGAGGAAACACATGCTTCAGTTTCTGCAAAATTGACACAAATTGTTTTGTGATCACTGAAAAGTTCACAAAATGGCCTGCTGCAGTAAAATGTTCAATGCCACTTGTCATGTTTCATCTGTATGATTATTTATTCAAACAAAATAACTTAAATCAATACAAAAACTGGAATTATTGGAACTTTGCATTAAGTCTGCTAGCAGATGTTGATGCATGGAGCTCGGGAATTAGTTGGCACAATGACAGCACATGCTTGATGCGGAAAATTCAGGCTCTTTTGACCTGTGTTTTCACTTCCTCATTATTCTATGTCTCTGTACTCCTCTGTAGATTAATTTCTCCAAAAATTTTGGGATAAACGACGTCATCACACTTCCTAGCTACAGTATCTCTGGCATGTCATCTATTTATAGCGAAAAATCATATTGCCACAAGAACAGAACCCACGAGAATAAGAGAAGTTAGTTTAACATGACTGGGTCAAATATTTGGAATCTACACAACTATTTCTAATGGTACCCTCTTACCCTCTTTAACTCAGCAAGTTCCGTGTGGGGAGCCGACTTGTAATCTGGATGTCTTGGCAGTTTCTCTATAAATAATCTGAAAATACAACACTGTTATAAATATATCAACAATTACCAGGGATGAAGACATGAAATTTTCTGGGCAACTTCTTTATTGTTTGTCCTGACCTTTCAGGGCTGTCCCTTCATCTTGCCCCCTCCCCTGATGAAGGGGTGTGTAGGGGTAGTGGAGAAAGCGCACAGTACACGCAGACAATGACTTTTGTCCCCACACTTAATAATGCCTAACACAACAGGAAAAACAATTGAATCTAGAATGTGTTTTTACTCATAAAAACATCTAGATTTGGCTTATTCACAGTAATAAGGCCAGAGGCCCAAGTACATATACATATAAAAGATAGATTTACATTGTGACAAGAGACAAATGTTACATAATATTATTGTTCAGAATATAAACTTTTCTTGATAAATGTTACAAGCTTCTTCAGCCATGTGATATTTCTTGTGGTCATCAAATTAGTGTAAATATGTTTATTTTCATATTCAGTTTGTAAAAATCATAAATGATTACTTCATAATCATTACATGCAGGGCAGCTAACAGAAAATGTAGTTCATCATCTATTTCACCAGTATTACAATGTTTACAAATTCTTAAGGAATAATCTAATCCATCTCGTCTTCCTGTATTACTTCTTAATGGTAACTCACTTAACCGTAATAAGCACAAATATCGTCTTATTTCTCTACTCCTAAATGCAGTGATATAATATTCAGTAAAGAAAGTAGTTTTAAAGTTGGAATAATATCGCAATGTCCCAGAATCAAACATAGAAGCGTGAAGAGTCTGCCAGTTACAATCTATTAATCGTTGCTTAAACATATATGTTGTATGGAATGTGATGGGAACACCGACACCAATGCCAACGCCAACACCAATGGCAACAGAGCCAAAAGCAATATGTAATCCCTCATTTTGGGGAGGAATATAATTGTAAATCATCAAGTCTAGTGATGTTTTATCACAAATTTCACAGACCAAGTTCCTTCTGTCCATTCACCTGAAGCAACATGGCATAGTTTTTGACTGCACAATAAACCACATAGCAATTTTTCGGGCGTGCACATTACACTCAAGTATGCACTATACGCTAGAACATACAGTACTCTACATCTGCACACTGACTGATGCAGTACACCTTCAGGATGTCACTTGATGCCACTTGATGATTACACAAGCTATTAGCAATTAAAGTGATCAACATGATATAACTCATCAAGGTACAATTGTTGCACCTTTGTTTGATCTGGTATTGTCCTTTCAAGGGTATAAAGTTTATCACAACATGGTCAGCAAACCATAAATGAAATACACTAACTCACTAAGTGATCTGTTAAACTAGAATGTGTGAGATGCCTTGTGACCATGATGCCTGAAACAGTCCTTACACTTCATCAACCGAGAAACACTTCATCTCTTTAAAATAAAATACAATTTTTTTTGTGCCTGTCAAATGTTGATGTCCTAAATACAACTACAGTTGGCAACGATTACAATCAGTGTCATTGTGTTTATCCACTAGTTCAAGAGATGCAAGATACACAGCTGAATGGTGTGAATTCCAAGTTTTGATCAGACCAAGAAAAATGCAGTTCTTATAAAAGATGGCAGTTCCTTGTAATTTGTGCCCAAATCTGTTGAAGCAGTTTACAATGATGACAGGACTGGAATGCCACACAAAGTTGTGATATGATACACAATGTTTGAAATCAAGTCAAGGGCGTCCTCGTTATGATCCTCAAATTGAAAGTACAAGATTTAGGGGGTCCCTACATTGGAATATTACAGCAGCAACACCCATCCCACAGACACACCCATCCACACCCACACCCACAAACCCACATCCACACATACCTTAATTTTATAAACTGGACCTTGAAATACACTCTCAGTCGATTTCTATTGTGTTTTCTGCCCAAAAGTATTACCACACATACTTTGAATATTGGAGTATCCCCACAACTCTTTATTCTGTAATTGTTCATGGGATCATTGAAAAATGCCTACCGACAATTACTGAGAAATACATACTTTTCTTTAAATATTAGCTTCAGTGGTGATGCAGCCATCAAATCAGATGTTTCAATCAAAGGTGGTTATTGTGATTTGATATCTCTGTTTAACAAATCAGAATTGAGTAATTTCCAAATTCATTGAAGAATATTTAATGATTCTGTTTTTGCTACAAGCTTTGCTCTGCCTGTGAGTGTGAGTCTGTACGTAGATGTGTGACACTCACGTGATGTACTTGGAGTACAGGATAAAGGCACTCTCCAGGTTCCCCTCATCCAGGTATATGTTTGCCATCCGGATCATCTCGCGACCTGAACGAAGGTAGAGTTTGGGTGATATTGCCTTGTCCACATCAACCTTGGAGCCATAATCACAGAGAGCCCGGACACGAGCTGCTGGTTCGTGGATGTGTGTGAACATCTGTACAGCCATCAGCTCCTGTAGCAAACACAGACACAGGATGTTATAAACACTTCAGGGATGTACAAAACGATATTCAGCCCATATTCTACAACAATTGTCAGTAAACATGCAAAAACTGGAGAAAAAAATTCCCAACTCATAATTATCATGAATGTTATCGCTTTGTGGAGATGACTTGTATATCACTGATAACAGCTACAGGAATGATATATGCTTTTTTACTTAGTTTTTTCACATTACTGCATTGAATAAAATATGAAGATTTTTTTAAAAATGAACAAATTCTGAACAAGAAAATGCTTTTTTCACCAATTTGCCTGCCAAGAGTATTTATTTTGAAATGCTAGATAAATCCCTGCATTTACACAATATTCGTGTATCAAGACTCAATTACTTAATCAATAGATTTAACAAATTTGAAGCAACAGATAAAGCAAGTATGACGGTATTTTATTGGAATTTAAACATGATAAACAAAGATAACAAAGCCTTGCTCTATTGTTATCTCACAACTGTTACATTTACTTCCTGATAATAGAAAGGGTCCACATATACCATATTCATGTATCTAGTGGGACAGTTTGCACAAACTACACTTAACATTTTCCACTCAAACTCACAGGTCAGGCGTCTGTGTAAATTTTGAGGTAGGTGCAGCTTAAGCAGAACTGTTGTGGTTAATATGTTCATTATATCGAATGTAAAAATACTGTAATCCCTGTGGTGGCATCAGGTCCAGTGCACGGTGCCTAAGTCACAGATCAGGCAACTTCAAGCAACATTAACTCTCAAAGTTTCAGTCCTGCCCCACACTGAAAAGTTCCCATAGTTACTTTGACTATATGCCTCCAAATATGCCTGTTTGCACAGCAGCAAATGGGTACCCGGTGGGATGAGATGGTAATCCAAATATTATAACAAAAATGCATTTGTCACATTTGCTGAAAATATTTAGAATTCAGACCATGTTCATAAGCATACACATGCTACAAGGTCCAAAACTTCATGAACTAGTAACAAGATGCAAGGACTGGTATTCTTCTCAAGAAAATATTAATTTTTCATAAATAAATAGTCCAAAATGAACTTTAGAATAGTTGGATCATCGACTTATATAGGTTATATAGGTCTGTGGATGGATTAAGCTCAAAAGTACAAACAAAGGGTCAATACACTCACTCCCAACAATAAACACAACATATTGGTATGTTCCACAGGTATGATTCAAAGTAAAGAACGCAATAAAGAAAAGGGAATCTTGGCCACAACAATATATAATGGATAGCATGAAACAAACCTTACCATGTTTACCAGCATGCCACTGAGCAATGGTTGCAGTGTGCAAGCATACCCAATATTTATGTCAACACAGCCTAACCAAGTTGAACAACACACAGCACCCTTACCATGCTATCATTGTTGACAAAACTAGTACTACCCATGCAGAATGTTTATGTCCACCACCACAACTGTACTGTAGCTTTGTACTGCCTGTACTACACCAGCTGTATTCATGCAACTCAAGTGTTTAGCATGTTTAACAAAGAAACTGAAAATACTCAACAGCTGTAAGTCTACCATATTTAAAAATACAATTCAAAAGGCATATAAAATAACATCACCATAACCATGATAGATCGATGACTAGTGTTCCAATATCACAAACAATATGACAACCATATCATGTGCCAAGGAGGGGTTTTGTGCCAACATCAAGAAATACTGATGGCCTTGAGAGACAAAGACATTTAACCAAATAACATGAATAACAGCCCGATTTTGAAACGAACTCATGCAAATATTTGGTCACATATTTCCCAAGCACCATCTAACACCACGTCAAAAATATGATCTCTGTCAACCGCGTATAAATCCAACCTATAAAATCTCTTTGAACTTGTGAATCCTTTAAAACGGTTCTCAGCAAACAAACAGGTAAAGTGTAATACAGGCAAGCTGTTCAGAAGCATGAAAACATTACTCACGTGAGTCATTTTCTAAAGAAATCATATGAGGGTGACAGTGACAGCTGCGGACTGCCTGGCAATGTCCTGCTGTGCTCATCGAATATATGACATCCCTCAAATACCAATCGGTTCTAAAATTAAATATGAAATACCTCTAAAGTATATACCGATGTCACCGAGTGACACGTCTGTTCTCTTTCACCTCAAAAGCGTAAATTCGATAAGCCTTCTCAGTTCATGTAAACACGGCAGCCATCTTGTATTACAATACTTCCGGACAGACAGCGTGATGTCCTAATCCATGGCTTGTTCATAATAAGACTTTTGTATACAATATAATTACATCACTTGATTATAAACTATATGTATTTACTTATTTTAACTAAAGATTTATTTTAAAGAATTAAATATAACGGTGAATAATGTTGAAGAAGCATATCTACCGGTACCTCACGTTGATATTGTTCATCCGATATTTTGTTGCCTGTAAAATTTTGTTACAGAGACACTTTGGCAAACTGTGGTACGAAGTAAAATATTGCCATATTTTATTGAGCGTCCACATGTTGATAGTTTCGTAATATAATTCTGAATCAAGACAATAAGATTTTCCTTATCATATTGTTTCATAGTACCACCCTGGTGCAAAAATGAGTACATCATCTACACTAGAGATTTTATTGATAAAAGCATCTAGCTGCAGGCAATTATTTTTTGTTTAAAAGTGCATTATTCGTAAGCACGTGTTTCTTTTAGAATTTGTAAAATAGATATGAATAATTTAAGTCTCCTGTTTGTTTCTGAAATAAACATTAATACCATATTGATAACACATTTGAAGTAAATGAGCTCTGGTGAAGTGTAGGCTTCCAGGCATTTCATCTTGTTTTTAGAACATATTTGTAAACATTGACTGGAAGGGGTCGGGTGGAATTTAACGTTCCCTTGTGCCGTGACTTGCTATTTCACATCGTGTACCATGCCGCGAAACAAGATTGATGATGCACTGAGGAATCATTCTGCGGTAGCTGGCACCACATCCAAAAGTGAGTGAGTTTACTTGGTTGAGGCCACAGTATTTTAGTTATATCGCAGCGTGTCAGTTTCATGTCGGCGGTTTGCCCGATAAATTCAGGTCTAAGATGTTTACCACTTAGGTGAACCCACAAGCACGTGTAAGGTGCTGACAAACCAAGAAACATAACCAGCACCAGATAGGATTCAAACCCATGATCATAGGTGTCTGGCACGTCTAAGGGACGCAACTCTGTATAGCAAATTGTGGCCCCCCAGATCACATGGACTATAAATCAGGGCATTTATAAGCATTATATTACATGTAGTTGAAAGGATAGCACTGTTATCCATACATGATAGAGGGATTTTAATAAGCGTAGTAAAATGAGTAAGCCTGGTAAACTGAGTATGAATATGACGCGAGTTTAGTTTTTTTCGACCCATCCTATCACTCGGTATTTGCAAGTGAAGGAAGTTAATACACTTAGGGCCAAATAAACTGTACCTCTCAGCTGATTTTATCATGTGTTTGATTTTCAATTGAAAATATCTTAAGTTAGCGATATTATATTAAAAAATGAACTGCACTGGTGCTTAGTCAGCTCTTAAAGAAATACTTCTACATATTTATGTTTTGTAAAATATAAAAAAAACAAAAAACTTTAAAACTTTTTTTTTTATCGTAGTACACAACTGCTGTTTGATCATAGACATCTTAACATTTAAAATAAATACAGTTGCTCTTTTCGGCACAAATTTACATTTCAAACATGGCGGGGGTGTGTGTCATTTTTTACCCCAGTCTGCATTGAACCAATTTATTTTCACACAAAATTACCTAGCCACAGATTATATTTTACAGGCTGGTGAAGGAATGAGTGATGGTTAAATAGATATAATCAAATTTAACAATAGTTCTTTCTCATTTCAATTACATAAAAAACAAGCTCTATATACTTTGGCCCCTCAGTTTAGAAAGCAATTCCATTGTACGAGTGAATTAGGATATTTACAGTGGTCTGTTTGGCAAACAAGAAACGACTATGGACAGCGGGAAAGACATCACATTGTTATAAGGTTAAGGGGGAGTGCATGTGAGTGAATGCTTAAATAATGCCCGAATCAGCAATATTACATATGTATGACGGCGGTCTGTCTCAAAGAATGGGAAGTATATTTCAGTCCCATTTAATAGATTTCTGTCTTCGCAAGTCTCAAATGAAGACTCGTAATTAATTGTCATTATTTATTTTTTTACAAATAGTAACACTTTGCATGTGGTTTTAGAGTATAGAATAGATTTTGACGATAACAGCTCCTTACGGGATAAGGGCCACTAGGCGGTCTTGTGTATGTGTGAAAAGAAATAAACCGGTTGATGTAAGAATTATCAATGAAACGACATGTTTCTTACTCTCAGCGTCGCAAAATTTCGATAGAAACAAAAAACAAATCCCTTTGAATTGAAAAGGAGCCTCGGTGAGATGGGAGATTCAGAGCCTGAACCTGTGAAAATCTAGACTTGCTTCATTTGGGCTATGCTGGTACTACCGTTAATATCGTTAGGCTGCATTCTCTCGGTAAATAAGATCTAAAAATTATAGCCAGCTTCTTGTCATTGTTATTATTATGTAAAATATGTAATTACAATGCTTTATAGAAACCAAAAGTTCAGAAGTTCTAAAGCAAATTGGGGAAATTGTATGAAGTAGGAACATACCTGAAACTTTGATACACACTTGTTAAGCAACTCGAATTGTGAGCCTTGACTTTGAACAGTAACTCACAAATAAATCAGCTCACACAGTGTGGTTGGATAGACACACACCCCCCCCCCCCCACACCCCCCCCCCCCCACACCCCCCCCCCCCCCCCCACCCCCACCCCCACCCCCACACCCCTACCCCTCTACCACCCAAAAAATAAATTGTGAGCGTGTTTTAATCACTGTAATTGAATGGGTCACGATTTCAACGAACAATATATTTGTTGTTGCATTGTTTAAATTTAAAGCGAATGTCTAACAGTGTGTATCTTAGGGCTGCGCTGGGGGTTAATTGTACTTTATTTGTGTTGGGGTTACTGAGTACAGTTGTCCTTCACACGCTAACAGTGCAAGTCGGGACTGCTTGCTTGTTTATTTATCTCCGACAACGCTGCCTCGATCAATGTGTTGAATTAGTCCTTGCGACAACTCTCGAGGTGATGCTGTGTGTACTACGCTTCACACCCACGCCGAGTTCCTGTGTCTGAAACGTGAAGCGTCCGCACCAAATGAAGTGAGACCTTAAATCGAACTCAAATAACTCGTTCTATTATTGAACTTGATGGAATGATATCAACGCTGTATAAACTAATTTCGATATCCCGCTTGTCTCGAAATACGCGTACCTCGATAATGTTTCACTCGCCCCGGGACTTCGAGTTAACAAGGGTCCAGTGTATGGACAGGAAGTGGTTGAATTAGTGTACTTAAAGCAGAGACAATAAAATATTATGTCTGGATGTCTGAAAACTTTAAGAAGAGACAATACTCTGCTTAAAGTTATGTTTTTTGCAGAAATCCACACCTTCATAACCAAACTAGAACAACATGTGTTTTAAACAAAAACAAGCAAACTATTTGTTCCATATTTCAATATTCGGATCTTTCAGAAAACATGTTTAGAATGAGCAATATGCTACATGTTACATATGCATAATTTTGCAACTGATTTTGTATAACATCGTAATAAATACATTGGTTAATTTATTACAAGCTGATTACATTACACCTATTATATGCTGCAGTTCAAAAACACCTGTTCTCAGTCATCACATAGGAGAGAGGCAATTAGATATTCACTCATTAGTGGGTTGCGGCCGTTAATTACCTATAATTAGGTGTTCCAGGGATGACATGTGTGATTTATTGACTGTTCGCTCTGATTGGAATATGCCACCTTGGCAGCGGGTCCATTATGTAAGTCAATATGCATAACGGTTTCGTGAGAAACCACATGTATACGTATCTTTACAGTGAGTGGGTATGGTTTTACGCCTCTTTTAGCAACATTCTGACAATACCACGTCGGGGACACCAGAAATGGGCTTCACACGTTGTACCCATATTGGGAATCGAACCCGGGTCTTGGAGCAAACGCTTTTAACACAAGGCTTACCCACTGTCCCACTTATCCTTATAATAAATGTACATACTACCGTGCCTATTTTACTGAAAGCGTGTGTACACCGTTTCAATAAACAAAATAACCAACAAAAACCGTTTACTCCCTATTACTCCAAATGACAGTGCATAAGTTTGGTGTAATTATGGTTTAAGTAGTGTTTCTCTAAGTGCTGATAATGCGAAACGAATGGTAATTTATTCATACAACATCCGTAGGCCAAATTACACGGGTAAACATTTTCCCTCTTCACCGTTTGACAATAAAATTGGTTTGTTTCGAGGAACGTGATTGGCTGAAACGCTCCAAATTCCTTGACCTTCCTCGAAATTGCAGAGAAAACAAAATTGTTTGCTGTGTCGGGATATCTGTTCTCTGTGTTTATACAGGAATACTGCCTTTTGTCGGAATAATTTATTCAAAAGGTAAGCAGGTATGTTATCATATAGTTTTTGTTGGCTGTAACGTCAGTCTATATCGTGTTGTTAAGGAAGACCCAAACACAAAATGGTTAAATGTAGTGACACCTCCACTGGGCGAACATCATGCAACATGCCCAAGCAGTTGCATGAATGGAGGGAAACTCGTTTACCTTGGCAATAACTCAAGGTATTTATGAGAATTAGACAACATTATTCCAGCCATTTTTAGAATATTAATTCTGTAATATATGATCTTATTATCACTCGCATGTGTGTACATAATGCATTTTGTACGGCTGTGAGTGTGAATTCTTTGGTTGTGTAGTTCTTTGAATTTTATTTAACCCAAGCTGCTGTCTGTACATGCTTCCGTTTCTTTCAGAAAACATGTATAATAGAATAGAATAAGCAAAATGCTAAATGTTAAATGTTAAATATGCATAATTTTTCAATTGATTTTGTATTAGATCTACATCGTAATAAATAAAATGGTTAATTTATTACTGGTCAGCTGATTACATATTTAGGTGCAGGGGGTGTCACCATTTGGTTGGGTAAAAACATGGATTTGTTTAGAAATCCTGTCTGTTTTATACATTAATTCAGGTAGAAGTTAATACTTGTTTGCAAGCCTCAACTACTAGCCTAATGAAAATCCAATTGAGTCAGA